ATGACCATCAGTGGAGTTCAGGCTGAAGATGCAGCAGTTTACTACTGTCAGAGTCAACATTACATAAACAGTGCTGCAGTGTTCACACAGTGATTTGTAGTCGTATAAAAACCTCCCTTAGTCAGACTGCAGCGACACTGAGCTGTTACAGCAGGAACTGACTGCAACTGCTGAAGAGAAAGCAAAGCAGTCCAGTGAAGACAAAGCTGACTGTAATATCAGCAAGATTACACAAAGTCATGTTCTGCACAAATTTTCTGAAAAGAAAAACAAAAGTTGGCTGTAGGAACGGCATTGGTCAGCTGGTGAGTTGTGCCAAATTTCCTCCACGCATGATGTCTGGGATTCAGGTTAAAGCGTTCTTTATTTCATCAGACCAGAGAATTTAGTTTCTCGTGGTCTGAGATTCCTTCAGGTGCCTTTTTCTGGGGAATCACTGTCATCGTGTTATTGGCCAGCTTCACATCTAAAGCCCTTCTACCCTGATGTCTGAAAGACTCATGGTGGTTTCAGTTCTTCAATATTTGGGAGAATGGAGGCCACTGCGCTCTTTGAGATGTTCAATGCTGCAGAAATTTTTCTGTACCCTTCCTCAGAATGAGAGTGTAACATACAAAATGTGGAAAAAAGGTTGTTTGAAATATGTAAAATTAGTATAAAAGGATGGCGTGCACAAAAATATGTGCAAATATATTAAAAAGCAAGAGAAAGGTTTTTTTCAAAGATTTGAAAAAATCACAAAAAGCAAAAATCATGGAGAAAAAAAAGATAAAAATGATGTAAAAATAACAATGCTAACACTCATTTTAACAATGTTAGCGCTTTGACCTCCTAGGTAAAGAACTGACCACAAAAGAATGGTGTTCACAGTAAGAAGCTTAAACCAGGAAAAAAAACCCACAATGAAAATATGACAAAACATACAAAGTATAAAATAACCACAAAAAGCCCACAATTATATAAAAAAATGCAAAATGGCATAAAACAATATAAGGAAATGCAAGTAACCAAACAAGCCAAATTATACAACCACACTATAAAGAAATACATCGAATGCAAAAGGCACAAAATGACAAGCGAGACATAGACAGACAAAACATGTACAAAAAGAAATTAAGTTTTTTAAAATTAAAATTGATCCGAAGGGAAAAAAGGTGCCCTGATTCGATGTCCAGTCTGCTTTTTGGATCCATATATCACAGACAATTTTATATGTATTCTCTTATTTTGACATAAGAGGGCACTATTTGTACAGCAGCAATGTAAAATATCCACCCGGACTCCAGTGGTGCAGGTGTGTGCTCACTGACCCATGCATTAATTTGAATATCTGTTGTGCACCCTGGATGCAAAATAGTTTTCTATAGTTTCAGTATGATACAGAAATATTTGTCCTTCTGTAAAATGACAGTTTTTAATATTTTGCTGGGTGGACAGCTGTCTATAAGTGTATAAGCCCGTTTCTCTGAGCTGCACAGCCAGCACAGAAATCTGTAATTACCTCAACTCAGTACTGATGAAATAAGTTAGTGTCGGTTTGGTTTGTTTGTTGTTTCAGCAGAATCAGATCTATACTTGAATTAACACTTAACAATCAGTGAAGTTCAGGCTGAAGATCTAGATTACTACTGTGTTGAAACATATGTGTGAGAACAATGATATTGGTATAGTTATACTAATATCAAATTAAACTGGTTAGGGATTGATGTGCTGCAGCGATGATCTCTTGCAGGAGATTAGAGACAGCACTCCAGAATACTGATTTTTTTTCTTTGTTTTGGATTAGATTAATTTCATACCATAGACAGAGACCTGACCTGATTAAACATGCACAACCTGTTAAATTAGTAGTTAGTATGTTAAAGAAAAACACGTTTTACCTCACAGTCTGAGGATTTGGTCTTTTTCAGCTTCAATAATTATTATCAGATGAGTTTACAATCAAACAGCTCTGTGAGGGTTGAGCAAAAAAAAAATAATGGAGTTATTTTCAGGAATTCAAAATGCATCTGAAACTGAAGAGTGTGTTATAAAAAATATAAAAAATATAAAATTATGTTACTCATTCTTTCTCAGTAAAATTTGGGGTCATCAAAGTAATGGCAATACAGCCTGAGAAAAAAATAGATGTGTGGAGGAAATTAGAGGACAAGTCAAGTTTTTTATTTATTTATTTTTTTGAGAAAAGATACAGTTCATCTGTACATGGTTCAAAATATCAAATACCTGAGTTATGGCTTTTACTATGGAGCATAAAC